ACGTTTTCCACAAGACTCATCATAGGTATGGACGTTTTGCGTCAATTACCCTTTTATTTAACGGTGGATTCTAATGGGAGTTGGACGGAAGGACGTTTTGCGTAAGAAAATGTAAAGGTAGGGACGTTATGCACCAAGAAATCAAACGTAGGGACGTTTTCCGCAAGGACTATCATAGGTAGGGACGTTTTGCGCCAATAACCCTTGTTTAAATTTCTTACTTTTTAATTGTTTCAACACACTCGTCACGTTTTACATACTGTAGATTAACTTGCACCTCGTTGCTCACCGAACTTTACACGTTGCACTCAATTACAAGTTCGAAACCACTAGATTCGTGGTTGGGGTGGGGGCCTTCGAAGGTGTTAAAGGCTCGATTTCGGGTTCAAGAGCTTGAAGTGGTTACACTGTCAACTGATTTGGGTGAGAATATTTGAGGTTTGCAAGATGAAATCAGGTCTTGGGTTCGACGATTTGGGATTTGGGTTCACAATTGGGAGCGAGGAGAACTCAGGTCAGGGTTTTTGTTTATGTTTACACGACTTCAGTCTAGTGTTGGCGTAAGGCGTGTTTGGGAGTTGGGTTGGGATAATGATATGGCATTTAACTGCCACATGTAAAATCCGTCCTCCACGTATGCAGTGTTTTTTGATGGGATGGACTTGATGGGTAATGGAGTGGTGTAAAGTTCGGTGAGTAATGATGTGTAGGTTGATGTAGTGAGTAAAACTTAGACACTAACAATTAACTTGAATAGAAGCTACTCGAAAGTAGAATGGGACAGTACGCTACACCGTTTCTTGGTTAATTTCCGCTATAGAATTTTCTCTGCAAATCCTTCTCGAATTGAAAATCAGTAGCAGAACCTAAGCTGTGCAATGGATGCATCGAGGGTTACCCAACTGAAAAAATTCGTCGACCAGTGCAAGGCCGATCCATCTGTCCTCTTCGATCCCTCCCTCTCCTTTTTCCGTGAATATGTCCAAATGTATATTTGTCTGTATATATTTTTGTGTTCGGATAAGACGATGCATGTTTTATTATAAGTTTTTTTTGTGCGTTGCAATGATGTATGATTTGTGGGGTTTTTATAATTTATTTTTGTTTATTTTTTTATTTTTCAGTCTTGGAGGGAAGATTCCTAATTCTGCGAACGAGGTGGGGAGTTACAAAGTGGTATATTTTATTTCATTGCAGAAATTTGGGTTTAGTCTTTCGTATTTGTTCCCATGTGGCCGATATAAAAATCAGTTTCATTGACTTTAACGTGAAGGGCAAAGACTCCAAAAGGAGAAAATATGAAACTATTTTCTCTAATAATCATGAAATTGAGTTACAAAGCTGTGGGAATGATTCATTTCAATGCTGTTGTTTTCTGAAGCCGTAACCGATTAATTATGTTTTTGGACTATAGTTTACGGTTTAAAATTTATAACGTTAAAAATGCAATTTTTTTTTTTGCTTATTTTGCATCTTCTTTCTTTATGGAATTTGAGTTTTAAATGTGTATTATGCAATGGAATACAAAAGTCTCATGCGACGGATGAGAGCGATGAGGATATGGAAGACTTGGAGGAGGTTCACCCGAAGCATGAAGAAGAAGAAGAAGAAGTGCCTGATATAATTGAGTCTGACATTGAACTAGATGAGCCTGATAATGAACCTCCACAGAAGGTCTAAACCATCTACATTTTCTGTTTTGTTTTAAATTTGATTAAGGGCGTGATGTTTCTGGTAGTAAATAAGTTTGGACATTGGAACTTATAGATGGGAAAACCCAGCATTGAAGTTACTGAAGAAAACTGTGATGCTTCTCAAGAGGCTAGAATTCAGGCTATGGAAGCCATTTCTGAAGGTAACTTGCAGACTAGTTAGGATACATGTTCACAAAAGAAATTGTTAGCTAAGTATGTATTTTGTTTTGATGTGAGTTAAAAGGGTTTTTCATTGATTAGGTAAGTATAATGAAGCAATCGAGCATCTTACCAAAGCAATTCTGCTTAACCCTACGTCAGCTATTATGTATGCAACCCGACGTAAATTTTGTTTTTTTAAAATGTTATATATTGATCAGGTTTATTTTCTTAAACCTTAGGCATTTATTATATGCTTCTCTAATGTGTGAATTTGATGGTTTATGTGCTGTAGCTACTGTGTACATAAAAATGAAGAAACCTAATGCTGCTGTTCGAGATGCCAATGCTGCTCTTGAAGTTGTAACGCATTTCTGAATTTGCTTGCTGATGAATTTAATTGCTTCCTATCAGCCAATATTAGCAATGATTTTTTGTGGAATAAACTTGTGTGTGTGTAGAAATGTCTCAGATGCATTTTACCTTGTAAAACTGAGGCCATCATTACTATTTCCATGCATCCTGTTCAATTTCAAAAATATGAATGTATTATTACGTAGAAGATAAACATCTTCGAGTACAATTTGTTCCGTGATTTTCTATCTTGAGACTAGCTTGTCTAATCTGGATATACTTGTCCAGAAATTAAAATAAAATGTAGCTCAGTTATTTTCTGGATTGCTCATACTCTGTAATAAGCAGCATTTTTAGCTAGAACTGTTGTGGGGCCATCCAAGGGCATCCGCTGTATGTAGTGTTTTTCAGCAGGGTGTTTAATCCTCACACTTGCATCATCACCACAAAAATTATAGAACTTCAAGTTCTTTGGTGTTGGTTGGTCTTGGTGAAAAGTAGAAACTTGCAATGCATGGTTTTTGCTGACATTGGGACTCATGGATATCATTATGTGATCACAGATCAATCCAGATTCTGCAAAAGGGTACAAATCCCGTGGCATGGGGCGAGCAATGCTTGGCCTGTGGGAAGACTGGAAGAGGCTATTAAGGATCTTCACTTGGCTTCAAAGCTGGACTATGATGAGGAAATTAGTGCTGTACTTAAAAAGGTAGCATGTAGCATCATATACGTATTTGTGTAGCATATTTTCCCTGCACTTTTTGCCATTGCTAGTGATTGCCAGTGTGACAATAGAGACAGACTAGAGAAAATGGTATTTTAGACTCTTTGGTGCAGTAGAACTTTTCAAAGAATTTCCCTCTTTGTGGCTAATTTAAGTCAGTCGTTGATGTGACAAATTCTTGGCAATATGTTGAGCCCAATGCACACAAAATTGAGGAACACTGCCGAAAATATTGCGCAAAGAGTCAGAAGACCATAAGATTGAGCGTGAGCGTCGTCGTCGCAGAGCTGAAGCTCAGGTAAACCTTGTTTGCCCTTGCCCTTGCCTTTTGTAATTGTGTGTTGTCTGAAACGTATCTGATTTTCCATTTTGCATTCTGTTATAGGCTGCATATGAAAAAGCTAAGAAGCAAGAGCAGTCATCATCCATCAGAAGGCCTGGAGGTGTGCCACGTGTCATGCCTGGAGGTTTTCCTGGAAGCATGCCTGGTGGCATGCCTGGTGGTTTCCCTGGAAGCATGCCTGGTGGTATGCCTGAGACTGTAGATTATAGCAAAATACTTAACGTAAGTATGTTTCCTATTTCCCTTTGTTAAAATATAGTCTAAAACTTCTTTAGTGCTGATAATATGAAGAAGTTATCTTCTCTTACATATTGAGTTTAATGGTCATGGATGTTAAAGATTATTTGTTCTCTTTTATAGTTAAAATTGACTCTGGGTTTGCTGACTGAGACATGATCCTGAATTGATGGCGGCATTCAATGATCCAGAAGTCATGGCAGCTTTTCAAGATGGTATGTGGATTCCAAATCTAACTTTGTTTCTACATGTGCATATATTCAATTTTGCAATGTGTTAATACAGCTTGTTCTCAATGACCTGTTTTAGCCATTTTTTTAAAAATTTATTGACAATTGGTAACTTTCCTTTCAAGAATGACATCATTTAAGTGATGATAAAATGATTTGGTATTAGCCAACCTTTCTGGAACACGTGGACGGAAATAATTCCTTTTCTGTTGCAGAATAAAGAAGTTTTGTAAACATCTGCCACGCTAAATTTTCACTTGCAAATATTGTTGGAAAGAAAGAAAATAAGGAATTACAGACTTCGATTTTGAGCACGCATTAGCTTTAGAAAATCAAGGGTTTTGTCTCTCAGTCAGCCAGAAACAGCTAATTGTTAATGGCCATGTCTTTTAAATTTTGATTTCATCGTATGAAGTTTTTTTTTTTTTCCTTCTTTCAACATAAGTCATAACTCTTTAAGAATTCTAGAAAAGTTTAGTCAAAAGACTCAAGTAATTCAAAATTGATGAGAGTGTGTAAGGATTGCGGATTTCAGTCGTTTAAAAATATTTACGCATTTTTTTGACAGGGAATGCGAGAGAGGATTTAAAATGTCCTTTAAATGATACTTGATTCTTCTGTTTTAAATGCTATCCTTCTTCTTCTTCTCCATGTCTAATATCTAGTCACTAAAATGCGTACCTGCCAAAATTGCTTGTTATTAAATTTACAAATTTCCCTGTAATTCCGGCTCGTTGAAGATAAAGTAAATGCAAATTTAGTATTCACAATAATATTCATGAGCTCCCAGACAATTGTTTATTTGCATCTTTGATTCTCATACTTTTCTTTCTTTGTCTATTTTTATGCCTGCACACTAGGATGCTCAGACACTCCTTGCACATGTCGAACACCTTTGCGACACTGGCATGTCTCCAACACGTCGAAATTGCCAGGTTTCCAGTTCAAATAACTTTTTGGTTTTGTAAAGTTGAACACATTGCCGACATGTTGCCAACACGTGGTGTGTCCAATTATTTTTTGGTTTTGTATATTTGGATACTTCGCCTTGTCGACACGCTGGGAGATATATTGTTTATATATCGGAATTAACAAAAACAAATTTACTTTACAATATATAAAATTGTTATAATAATATGAACTTAATTGGTGTGTCGGGGATGTGTTGTGTTGGAACTTTTTTTGAAAAATTGCATCTTTTCGTAACCCAACTGATTTGTTGAGTCGGTGCTTCCTAGCCTGCAGAAATTTTCAGTTGCAGATTAAGCTCATGTTTGGTAGACATTTTATTTTTTGGAAAAACATTGTTTTAAATAGTGAATTTTTGGATAATGTGTAGCTAAAGAGTAAGGAAAAGTTTTGGGTTTAAGTGTAGAATATTTTATTGTGTGAATGTGTGGTTGAAAATAAGTATGTAGAAAAAAGAGTTTTGAAAAAAATATGAGACAAACATGGACTAAATGATTGTAGTTAGTGGTTCTGATATACTCATAAAAANATTGTATGAATGCGGTTGAAAATGACTATATAGTAAAAAAGAGTTTTTGAAAGAATGGGAAATAAACAAGGGCTAAATTATAGATTGCCCTGTAGGAGGTTTCTTTTTGTGCTGGTTGTACATCTAGATACTAGATAGTATGTTCACGGAAGGTAATGGATGAGTTGTGGGATGATAATTGGGCCAAAGGTTCTGCATGTTCCACACTTATGTGTTGGGAAGAGGGGTGGCTAAAGAAGAGGAGTTGACACACATCAACGAAAGAAAAAAGAAATGAAGGACAGTTTTTTACTCTTTAGATTTCTCTCCTTTAATATATTGTTACCCTAAAATACTTGAGGGTGTTCTGCCAATTTATCATAAAGTCTGTTGAAACTTGAAAGGAATAATCATCAAAATGGCAGCATTTTGTATGTCATAAAATACAATATTTTGCAATTATTTAGTTCCTTCTTCAACTACTTTGGCTGCAGTTGCAGTGTATATCTTCAACACTGTTCTTGCACCTACTTCCCTCTATAGGAGAACAAGTTTTCTGTAGAAGGTGAAGAGAGGGGGGGGGGGGGTACTANGTTTTCGGTAGAAGGTGAAGGGGGGGGGGGGGGGGGTACTAGTGCCGCTCAAAGTTCCTCGACCAATAAAAGTCCTTGGCTATATTATCATTCCAAGACCTTAACTTGAATAGGTTACTAGAGGTCCACACCTTTGGTATCTCATTTTCTTTGATTAGCAATCATTTCAAGCCGATCAGCATAATTTGCACTCTATGAGGTGAATTTGGATATTGAAGGATCTGGGTCTGAGGCTATTGCCGTCAAGGATTTACAATCCTAGGCTTAATGAACAATGCTGATTTGAGCATCATTTAGCACATTGTATAAGATGTACGTGGGCCCAAATTGTCGCTGGATAATTGTGAGGGTTAGGAAAGTAATAAAGAGAGATGTTTGCTAATGTCATGTGTTGACCTCGAAAAATGGCT